GGGGAGGGGGGCGGCCCTGCTGCTCGGCCAACTGGAGCTGTGATCCAAGACTGGGACAAGTCCCCACCAGCGGCCCAGCTTGCGACAAGGGGCTGGCTCCGGCCATTGGCGACACCTTCACACACGTCCGCGCTGGCGGCAGCTGAAGGGGACACCGCGACAAGCGAGGGGGAGCTGGCCCACCCGTCGGCCTCCTCTGCCTGCAGAGCTCGACTGCTCAGTGCGGGGCGATGCTAACCCTCGCCTCTGGGCTGGGACCCCGGGTCGAAGAACAGAATAATGTACTCGCACAAAGCAGGGCACTATCATCACCCTGCAGAAGAGGATGCTCGCTGTAAAAAATGATTTTGACAAGAAGTAGCAGGGCCTAGCTGAGAAATATGCCTTAATCTGCTCTGACTTCTGGCACGGCGAACTATGCAATACCAGCAGGGGTAAGGTACCTTTTTTCCACGCAGGGCAGCGATGCACAGTGGCTGAACACAGGAGGAGCCGTATCACAAACGGTGGAAACCAACACAAGCAATTAGATGACAAGCGATTTTATTTTGCAAAACAATCACTATACAGCAACAAATACAATTGCAAATCGGATTGAAAAACATGAACTACCTACCACCAGCCATTCAAGAAATGCCTCTTTTATGGTAACAGGTTCTAGAATTACCAGAAAAAACACAGGTTTGTAACAGCAGACTGTATTCCTTGACATCCCAGCATACAGCATGGTTATTTGTTGGCTTTTTCTCTTTGCTAAAGTTGAAGTGGCTTTTATATGCTTGACATTTCCAAGTGCGAAACTAATTTACCTTCCTGCAGTGGGAATTGCTGGAATTGCAGAGGGAGTTGCATTAGCAATCTGGCTAGTGAGTGAACTCGACACACACCTAGGCTAGAAATCTACCTGCATCGATTTTCGTAGCAAACGTGATCTACTCTTCAAGGCATTTGCCTTCGAAGGGACATTTGTACTTAGGTTTCAAACAGTATTTGGTCCAGTATGGGAAAAACTTCTGCTTGCGTGTGGCAGTCCACACAGGCTGCCTTTCGACTCCCTTTGGGTCGACGTATATAGGCAAACTTAGATTTGTAAGCAGTCACGATGAGGTTACTGCTGTACCTTAGCAGAGCATTGAATGGATAATACCATTTACTGCTGTACAGTGAAAATATACATAGCCCTTGTGGGCACACAGTTTCCCCCACCAGTATTAGTTTTTCCTTTACAGTTGCTGGACAGTTGTTTGCTCAACTTTGGTTTCTTTTCGCTTGTGGTTACATAGAAACAGAACTCTGCGGATGGGGCAGAAGCACTTTTTCTTTTGTCTCTACAACTTGATGGATTATTAATTTGGGGCTCCCCCCTCGCTATCCAAACAAGGCCTCACCATTCCTTTTGTCTGGACCATCTCTGCTTTGTTACAGAGTTGGGTCTTGGGCACCCAACGTACCTGCTGGCTCAACATGCCTGTGGAAAAGAAACACAACAGATGCAGTTTCCAGGAGGCTGGCTCTATCCTCTTTAGTGGGCATTACGTATTTACAGAACTGTTGTTTTTAAAACCAACACTCTTTTTGAGAAGTTAAGATTAATATGAGGCTTTTTCAGTGAACATCTAGAGTCATGTAACATAACTTGGGTTTGGGTTTTTTTTTAATTTAACAGCACAAAACTCTTTATTTCTTTTCATCTAACTCCACAGGATTCTTTCTATGGAAGGATGATTACGGTTACAAAGGTCTTTGCTTGAATCAAGACAAGAAAGCTCATTTTAATGCATGAAATAAATGACTTGGTGTGTTACACCACTCTAACTTTGGACTCAGGTGGATTAACTAAGCTTCGTTTTCTAGAGTATGTCAGTTTTAAAAGTAGAACAAAAACCCCCTCGAGTCTCAGGTTCACACTGTTCTCACTAGCTAGTGTTCAGCTTCAGAGAAGCTGAGGTTCAGTAGTACCACAGACCCTCTCCCACATTGGCAAAAGGCATAAAAAACCCCCAAACCACTGCAAGGCTAATTTATATTAATTGATAGTATGACCAGAGCAACGTGACATAAATGCTGTTTTGTTGTTTTTTCTTTCTCTCTGTTGTTTTTCCAGAAAAACGGGAAGAGGCTTTTAATGCACCTCACTCAACACTGTTTCCATGTGAGTTCTTAGGATTACTCTAAGCAAAACTATAACAAATACAAGGCAGAAATCAGAATCCTCCAGATGTACTAAGAACAGTTCTAAACTCACTGTCCTTTGTATAAAACAACTGACTTACAAACAGTATTAGGTACTTTATAGTGTGAAAAAGCTTTCTGCAGAGCTGAAATGTTGTGTGTGGGGCCGTTAGGAGTCCATCTTCAGTAAAATTTTGAGAGATGTAACTGTTTCGTTTTGTCTTTGTACTGCTGTGACAGGTTAGCCAAAATCCCCCTTTGGTCCACTGAATATTTACTGTCTAGTAACTGTGCATTTGCTACCTGAATTTAATGATGGGGAACCCTGTGCTATTAGAAGAATCCTTCTCCACAGACAGAAAAATCTTCTCTATGAGTCTTTTCAGACCAAACCCCAACACACACACACACACACACACACAAATTAAGAAGGAAAAAGAACAGATCAAAAGCTTCCAACACACAATGTTAACCTAATACATGTATCAAGTATAGCTCAACTGACAGTGCAAAGTTTAGTTAAGAGATTTCAAAAGGAAAAGATCAAAGAATCTGTAAGAATGTAAACTGGTCATTTCATAATGTCTACTGTACATATAGTATCAGCAGATGGTAATCCACTGACGAGTAATACTACCATATCACCTTCAGGGTTCTCTTAGTGTCCATAAGATAGCGTCGGAGTTCTCACAGGTAACTCCGTTAGATCAGTTGTTTGTGTATCTCTGCCCTTTATCTTTTATGCACACTTTTCCTTATACTTTTTATAGTCAATATAATCCCACTTTGCTCAGATTTATAGATGCCCTATTTCTGGATGAATCGCTATGGCAACCCAGTCTAGGGAGCTCATTTTATTTATTCATGTACTATAATTTACAGGCATCTCTGTAATGTTTATCACTGTTACCCGAGTGCCTGGGTGTGTACGTAAGACATCACTGAAGGAGTGGAAACAACATCTCAATACTTTTTTCTGTGTTTCAACTTTAGCAAAAGAAAAAAATAAATAAGTCTAACAATCACTGTTAACTACAGGAGTTAAAAAAAAAAAAAATAAAAGAGAAAGAAAAAGAAAAAAAGCCAGAACCAAACTATTGTCGATTTTTTCAAAAATCCAGAATCCAAACTCAGCCATCTTTGGAGACCCTTTTACAAACATCTGGACCCCACAAAAATCATACCTTTGTGAAGAACGGGAGGGAAGGGAAGAGGGAAGGAATCCTTTTTCTAGCATCACAGAAGAGACTTGCATCTGGCACTAAAACAGGGTCACGGCTTTTAGTTGTTACAGAAAGCAACTTCATGCTAAAATTTTCATCTTTTTTAAATGTTTTCTTACGAGTAGGGAAAAAAAACCCTGCTAACATCTACTTTTACATACCTAAAATTGCAACACCAAAGGGTGCAAGAGACACAGATACTGTGAATAAAGAAGTAGAATATTCAAGTATATGAGGAGGGCGTATCACAAATGGCCACAGAGAAATATATATATCTATAATACTGTATCAAACAGATGGAAAGGATGTGAAACCAGTGGTGCGTACACAAATCTAGCCGCTTAACCAACTTTCTAATCAGACACAAGTCCATTGGGGTGGTGCTTGCTTTCAACAGCTTTTTTACGTCACTTCCCCAAGCACGGTTCAAATGTTTTCAACTACTGTTTTTAGTTATTAGTTAAATAATTTATTGGCTTTTCAGCTATACACTGACATAATTAACCTGGTCCAAAAAAAGTTAATAACTTAATTCAACTTTTGTTCTACTCATTTATACAAAATAACACTTTTTTTTAATTAAACTTGAATTTCTCTATATGCCCTTCCTTCTGGTAAGCAGACCGTTAATTTAACCTGTAATAACTTACAATGGGCAACCTTTCTTCTTTTATTTCCCCATCTATCAACAGAACAGTGAAATGAGCAACTTGGGATATTAACAAGGCTCGTCAGAAAGAGGTGGATGGCCTTCAGGCACATGAAAGGTAAAAATGCATTTTATCATAGTACGGTACTCCATGCAAGACAGAGCAGAGCAACAATAATTGTCCAATGTAACATACTGCAGTTGTATACCCATATAAAGCCAGTGTCTTCCTGTTGTAAATGGAGATCAGGCCAATTTCTGCATCTATTTAATTTTTTTTTTTTTTTCTGTTTTTTTAACTGTATGGTAACTACAAGTCTTGGGATGTGACTTAGTTTTAGACATGGTAAAGAATGAATGTAACACCTGCTCTGAGCCCATTCTTGCCAAGAGCCTAAATATTATTACTTCATACAACGTGAAATGAGCAAATTCATAAGCCCTGCTTAGCGAGGGCTGCCGTGACATCTTCAGCAAGGGTAGCAAGCTGGGGCGATTCAAGCAGGTTGATGCTTCCAGAGGACGAGACGTTGCTGAGTCTGCGTGGTGAAGCCACGCTGGACCTGCCTGGTGACTGCGTGATGATCTCAGCCCCGTGATCGACACGGGCTTTAGCATGCTCTCTGAAGTTTAGCTTCTGGCTGTCAATCTGCTCCAGGAAAGCAAAGAATTTAACACACTATACATTCACCAAATTATCTCGTTATAGATCATCATTTGGGTCTCGTTTTGTTTACTTTTAAGAATTCTTACAAGGATTGACGCTTCTTCACTCCTTAGAATAATTGAAACTGAAGATGTTTTTCACCTTACTTAATATACATTGGCTTACTACATTACATTCTCTTACCATTTTGCTGAATTCACAGCTCTAATAATTTCACTGGGCCAGGGGCATAGCGGTAGCCTTTTCTCTGACAGCTGTCCCCTTACCTTGACATTACCACCACCAGGTACGTGGTGGGCATTTTCCAGTGAACCAACTTTAGCCTGAGCTTTTTCTTTGAAATCCAGTTTCACACTCTCAATTTTCACACGCCCTCCTCCTAGACAGAAAAAGGAAATACAGATTTAAGAGGCTGGAATGGCTCAGGAGAAAGTTGGACTCGACACACATGGGTGGACTCACATTACTTCCCTTTTAGTTGAGATCTAAGGGTTTTATAGAAGTAGAGAATACCATGCTGCATGTTCAGTAAAACATAAAATCTTCAACATGGATTCAAACTGTAAGCATGTGCTGCAGCCTTACTGATTTTCATGGGATTTAAGCATATGCTTAATTATTTTGCTGACTTTAGTTTGCATTTCAGTATCTTATCAAACTGACATTATGCCACAGCAGCATCCTTCTGCATTATTTTTTTATCAACTCTCTAAACTATGTGGTCCCATACCTTTATGTCTTCATATATTTAGTTAAGTAGAGTTAAGAATACGATTTTTATTACCAAAGTGTATTTACTTTCCCTTGGACTATAAAAGAGAATGGTATCATCCATGATTTCTCCTTCACATAGCAGGATTAGGTCTTTGCTTTGTCCCACATCCCAGAAATTCCTACAATACCTGGCTTGTGGTGGATATTCTTGAGTGAGCCACACTTGGAAGTCACATGACTCAAGTCGATCTTCTTGGTTACGATTTGTACCTGTCAAAAGCACACATACAAATACAGGAATGAAAAGGATAAAATAAGTAAAAAGCCAAGTGCTGCAGAGGAAGAGCCCAAGCCTCTACAAACCACTGGAAAAGGAGAGATGGTTAGTAGAAAACAGACCATGCCACAAAGGAGGAAACACCTAGATTAATACAGCAAGCTTCCTTCCCACCTAGGGAAATGACAGAGCTGGGCTAAGCTTTACTATCAGCAAAATGAAGAGAAGGACAAAGCAGATGAGCTTGTGGGTTCTTTCTAAAATATTTCTGAGTCCCCTCTCAGGGTGGATGCTCTGAAGCCCTGCATGCAGCAGGACCTATCCCGTTTGCTTCTGCTCTTGAATGTGCATCCTGGCAACTAGGAATATTTTGGTGGCTGTTTTTTTTTCTCTACCATCTGTTTCGTATTTTCTGCATCTAAATACGGTAATGCATTTCAGCTCAACCCACTATGGAGAGTCTGATGAATCTACAAATGTGACTCCTGCAGCTGTACCTGCACTGGTTGGTGTTCGGCCAGCTGGCTTGGTGGTGCTCACTGGATAGCACTGGCGTTGCTCTGCTCAGCCAGGCAGCAGCACAGGCACCCTCCCTCCTCCTGCTGCTCTGTGCCCTGCTGCTGGCCGCGTTGCCATGACTGTGCTGAGCCCAGCTCGGGAACAGCGCAGAGCGACACTGCTGCCTTGCCGCGCTCCCAGCAAGCTCCCAGAAGTGGCCTGCCATTGCAGCGACTGTGTTAGCTAGTCTTAAGGAGCTACAGCCCCTCCAGGCCAGATGGGAGCTCCAGGATGACTGCAATGCCACTGGTTTGCTCACACAACCAGCAATGACTTAAGCCAGCACTGCTGGCTGTACTGGATCTGTTTGGATCAGACATGGCCACGCCATCAGCTCTTCCATCTGATCATTTCCATCAGAGGGGTCAGAGCCGCCATAAGCTATTCCAGCATGACTGCTAGAAGTAACGGGTGCCTGGTCAAACCTCGAGCAACCTCTCTTTGTTATACAGGAATAATGCTGTGGCATTCGCCATACCACTCAGCATGCTGCCTGATCACACCCTCTCTCTGAGCTTTCTTTGTCCTTATGTTTTATTTTTCTTCTTCCTCTCAGGTTAGCTGAGGAAGGACTGACGCACTAGAAGGTACCCAACTGTGAGGCTGGAGTCTCCCTGTGAGCTGGAGTCTGTTTTTCTGGAAATTACTTTCTTGGGCCACTCCCATAAAAGGCACTGAACCGTTTCAGCTCACACTGGACTTCTACTGTCAGCAGCCTTGGGAGTTTAGAGATAACCCTTCTTCTCTCATTTCCTTTTCCCATCCAAATTCTGGAAATGTGTTGTGCTCTGGGGAGAAAGATCAGGAGGCCACCACCGCATACACAGGGTTCGCATGACTACCAGACCAGACTCACATGTGAAACAGCAGTGAGAAGGAAAGTAGTGCTCAGAGGAAGGGAGACAGAGGGGTCTGGCTGTGCAAGGTGGGTCACCACAGTGGAGATGCCTGTTCACAGGGTGTCTGTACTACTTACATTTCCTCCCCCTGCAGAATGTTTGATGTTATCTCTGGAACCACACCGGGACTGAATATCGCTAAAATCGATCTTCTTGTTTAAAATCCTAACCTAAAAGGAATCGGAGGTAACTTACTATATACCATACACACGCTCCACCGGGGTGCAGGAAAAGGGAGCCAGGGTAATTTTTTCTCATGCTGTGACTCCTTCTCCTGACACTTGTATTGAAATGTGAGAAAGTAAACCACGCCAATCTATGCTTAGTATGTTAATGCAGCATTTGTAAACATACTATGCTGCTCTTTTTTTCTACCTCATGAAGTGGTGGCGAAACAGAAAGGGGAAAGTTTTTATACTGGGAGATATAAAAGGGTGGCTTTTCCCTGAAAAGCTCAAAGAACTCCTTGTTTGCCTGGACTGGACATAGTTTTGGACAGCCTGTCCAAGTGATAGCCAGTGTTTCTCCTGAACTGGACACAACGAGAAGATGGAAACCCTTTCCCACAGCTCAGCACTCCAGCCCTTGATGCAGAAATCCCAGATCCAGCCAACTCAGGCACGGGTTGGAATCCTGAGGTATTTTGCCCCTCCTCCTGCCATACATCTGTAACAGCAGCTACATTCATACAACAGACCTCAGAGCGTCCTGTGAAAAGGGACTGACAAAATCAATTAAACTGAAGGCAGAGCCCTCTACTGCTCTATCTCTTTACTGTCATTTACTAAAGGGCAATACAGAAAACAACAGCATCTGGTAAGCTACAGCTGCAATCATAATTTCTTGATTTCTGGTGCTGGCCATAAAGTTGGTCACAACAACTTTCTGGTGCTAGGAGCACTGTGCTTCTCTCCTGTGCTCTTTGTTTCCAGCAGACCAAGTACCTGACTTTCCCTTGATGGTGCCAGCCTCCCTTACAGATGCCAGGAGCCCACCGGTTACCTTAGCCACCGGTGCACTGCAGGCACATGACAGTGCCTGGAGATGAACTCTGCAAAAGGAAGGCGAAGCTGTCCTGTGCTTGACCCCCGTGTCAAAGCAGCTCCTCCACCCAGCAGAACTCAGGTGCCACCAACGATTGTCCTCCCAGGGAATGATGTGCTGCTGGATGGCAGTAACCAGTAGGCAGGGACAACGGGGTGCAGGGCACACACCTGAGTGACAGCACTTCCAGACTTCTTTCAGAGCAAGGGCAGGGGAATGTGCTCGCTAGTGTCAGGCTTTTCGGTGTGTGAGAAGGTGTTTTTGGCCAAGGCTGCACCTGCCTCCTTTGCACCAGGAGCTTTTACTTACTCAGCATGCCACCCATGCAGCATATTCTTTCTCTGGGTTAAATATGAAGCCTTTATTCAAATGTTACATTGGATTTTATTTATTTCTACATTATTAATAGATTATATGAATTTACAGAAGGCCACAGAATTTTGGGCATTATCTACTCGTTTTGCTAAGTGCCACTTGTAGAGCCTTCACTGACATACTACTTAGCACAGTCCTGTTGGCTGCTGTTGTAGGTAAATCTACAGTGGCTAACTGATACTGAGATAAGTGAGAAGGACAGATACACCAGGGTACCTTACTGCGGCTTCTTACCACCCCAGGAACACAAAGCAGCTGCAAACCAGCTGAAGTGGTCAGTGGGACGAAGAAGAACCCTGTGCAGTTTCTGCTTCCTGGCTTCAGGTCCTCAAATTGCCCCAGGCTCCCTGATAGATCTGAGACAAATCACTCCCTCTGAGCCTCACATCTCTCCAAACTAGGAAAAGACTATTTGCCCCTTACAGGGATATCAGATTTTGCCGCTCTTGGCTCCTGCAGGGGGGATTAATGACACATTTTAGATAACGAGTCAAATCCTCTGGCACTGAGCACCTGGAGTGCACTCTTGACTTAAGCCCAGTAAACTCCAAGGAGAAATTTTGAGGGCCACACTTTGCAGCTAATGTGAAGAATTCCTTCACAGCAAGCTCTTTCTTGGGTCCCCCTCATTACATATAATGTAACCACTACATCAGTCAAACCATTGGGATGTTAAGTGTTCTCTAGCTTTAACGGGTAAAGAGCTGTGGTGGTGCCATGTTCAGCAATAAGGGTGATGACAGCACCAGGAAACTCTACAACTGGTAGGTCACCTTCAGAAGGGCATCTTCAGTAGGCAAACTGACTTCTGTCTTTCTCTCTCCCATCTGTCCAAGTAAACCAATGAACATTGAAACATGAAAGGAAATGCCTTTAGAGTTTTATGCTTGTGCTTTCTCGCAATATACTATTTGTTTAAAAATGTACCCCAGTACTATACAAGACAGGTGTCACATCAGTTACAGAAACACATGTCAGAAGTGCAGTCAGATCTGGCTCCCAGAGAGCTTCAGGCCAGACACAACTGGGCAAAACAGAAAGCCTCCTTAGCACTTTCTGAGCACATCTCAGCAATAGATCAGCAGCACCTCTTAGCAATGGCCACAGGGATGCATTTGCTCTGAAAATGCTGACTTAGGGGTCATGGCAAGACCTCAGCACTATGGACTGGGGGCCTATAGCTTAAAAATGGAGACAAAGCAAGGTGATAAGTTGAGAGGGTGCCTTTGATGAAGCGCCTGAAGGTTGATTTGCACCCAGCAGTCTGACAGTTTGTAAGTCTCATGGCCCATGGACCTGGCTAGCAGATATGTAAAGGACCAATCATCTCAATTATTCTCTCTGTCTCACTGGGTGAAATGTGCCCCTGTATAGAGGGGGCAGCAGGAGACCTATGTATCATTTATGTCCTATGCTGAGGGCTGAAGTGAGCTGAGTGATGTGGATGTGTTCTGCTGGTCGTCTGGCACAGGGAGGAACTGCACTGATCCAGGTTTTCCCTGATGATCTGTTTCTCCCTTTCCTGGAAGATACCAATACCCCTGCACGTATTAAAATAATGACTGCCTCTATAACTAAGTGTCCCACAAACTAACAGAGCCTTGTCTTCTACAGATTAAAGCTTTAAACTGCTTAATCCTTCCATCCTGTATTCTTCAGCAAGCCTTATCCCCTCTGGCCAGCAGTATCTCCCAAGCTTTCCCCAGGTCTGCTAGACCGAGCAAATAGAAGCCAATACACAACTGGCCAGCTGTTTGTCGCCTCTGATTGTAGGGAAGGGGCTGAGTTATCACTGCCTTTCCCCCAATGACAATGTTTTGCTGAATCTCTGTTTCATATCCAGTCAACAACTATCACCCAACTTGGAGGGACCACCTGTGTTTCTAACCACTGCTCCCTTGCCAGCACTGGTTGAAATGGGCCAACAAGTTACAAATGGGTTGAGGAAGGCTGAGACTGCCAGCCAGACAGCATGACTGCATGAGCTTTGTTTCCTTTGAGAAATCAGACTGTAAACATCAGAGGGAGAGTACCAGTGAGGGACAGGAACTATTTAGACTAAAGAGAAATTTTGGCTTGCAAACAAAGAATGTAAATGGACTGTGAATTATTTGAAG